CTTATGGCCTCATTCTGTCCTCCCTGTTAAAGAAGACTCCTTTCTCTTCATGGTCAACGCCCACACTCCGGTAATAAATCAGATAAACTAAAAATAACAAAGTCCTTTAAAACTTTCAAACCTTGGGAAATCGGAACACAGATTAGCTTACCTCGGCGCTGGAGTTCTCTTTCCCTTCCTGGTTCTGAAAAGCAGACAAGGGTGCTGTGAGTCTTCCCTAAGTGGGCGAATTTACTCTACATTTCCTACGCGGTTGCTTCCCACACCGATAAAAATTCGATTTAAGGTTCTTGTTCGTCTGACCCAACCCGACGCCAACTTCGGCCCGTTGTCCGGCTTCGCTCCCTCCACCCACCCGGACGTCCCGAGTTCGCCCCTCAGGCTCTTCCCCGTCCCAAGCCAAGCCTGGAACTCACCTGCCCAGCATCCCGAAGCCGGCCGGCGAGGGGTACGAACGCTGCGCCCCCCCGATTCCTCTTCTTCCCAGGGGGAACCCCGAGATTGGCGCTGGGAAAGGCAGCCGGGAAGTTTGCGCGAGCTCCTCCTCTGCTTTCCCCGGGCCGGAGCGCCTCGCAACGCCAACTTCTCTCCCTTCTGCTCCCTGCCCCCCCTTTGCCTACCTGCGCCACCTGCCCGATCTCCGGCCCAGGAAGCGCCCGTTCCACCTGGGGCGCCGCCCGGCCGCTTCCTCTTGGCTTTCTCAGCCGGCTGCCCGGCAGCACCTTCCCCGGAGACTCCTCCTCTTCCCTCTCCCTGCCCAGCTCAGTCGGGTGGGGAGGCGGCCAGGCTTCCCTTACCGCCCCCCCCCCCCCCCGCCACCTCCACTCCGGGCCCTGGGACTCGTGCCAGGCGATCTCTGACCGGGCGGGGAGGATTTGCGCCGCTGGCCTGGCGCATCTCCCCTCTGTGGCTCAGCGCTAAGACAGGCACGGGCGCTTTGGAGAACTTTGCCCGGGTGTGAATCCAACCCATCTCGTTTGCAAGCTTCAGTTCGTGCTCAGAATAACAGAGTTGGAAGGGACCTTGGAGGTCTTCTAGTCCAACCCCGTTGGAGCAGGAGATCGTATCTGATTCCGAACAAATGGCTATGTCCAATCTCTCTCTCTCTCTCTCTCTCTGTATGTGTATGTGTATATACTATCTCTCTCTCTCTGTGTGTGTATGTGTGTACATATCCATATCCATATCCATATCCATATCCATATCCATACATACATACATACATACATACATACATACATACATACATACATACATACATACATATATATATATATATATATATATATATATATATATATATATATATATATGTTTTCTTAAGTTTTCGCGGGTACTTACATGTATGGTATTCGGCTTGGTTCGGTTATTTTCCCACGTCATTATAGTTGTGCTTTTAAAGTTGTAGCATCTCATCTGCCATGGGAAAATACCCGAACAAAGCTGAATACCATACATACATACATACACATATATACATACCGTATATACATATATACATACACATACACATACATACATACATACATATATAATTTGTTTTCTTATGTTTTCGCGGGTATGGTATTTAGGTTTCTTCAGGTATTTTCCCACGTCTTGATATTTGTGCTTTTACTATAGTGACGTTTGGGCAGAATCTCATCTGCCATTTTCTGGCTTGTGTATTGGGTTCTTTTTAATCGTGTGTGTCAGGTTTGGCAGCCATTCAAATAAAGCAGAAAGCCAGCACCAAATTCAAACAAAAAACGGCTGCCAAGCTTGACACACACGATTAAAAAGAGCCCAACACACAAGCCAGAAGATGGCAGAGGAGATTCTGCCCAAACGTCGCTATAATAGAAGCACAAATATTAAGACGTGGGAAAATTCCCGAAGAAACCTAAATACCATACAAATATATTCTTGTTTACATATAAAAATATCGAAGACAGCATGACCACCATCCTGGCATTTATTTCACCATACACACTAAAATAAAAAACAAACCGCATATATACTATTTATACATTGATATTTTTGTACAGTTATTCTTGACCAATTTCTCTTCTCAAAATCCTCCAGTGATGGAGCACTCCTAACTTCTGGTGGCAGGCTGTTCCACTGGTTAATTGTTCTCCCTGTCAGGAAATTCCTCCCTAGTTCTAGGTTGCTTCTCTCCTTGCTTAGTTTCCATCCGTTGCTTCTTGTCCTGCCTTTCAAGTGCTTTGGAGAATAGCTTGACTCCCTCTTCTTTGGGGCAGCCCCTCAAATAGTTATTGTGTCACTCATAACCAAGAAAGCCACGAATTCCTTTACAGGGCAAAGGGTCGGAATAGAGCAGGGGAGGATGATTATGACCACTTTTAGGCCCTGTGGACTTCAACTCCCAGAATTCCTGAGCCATTCTCGGAGTTGAAGTCCACAGGTTATTAAATTGCCAAGGTTGGACACCCCTGCAATAGAGGCTTACGGGACTCAAAGGTTTAAACCTAGAAACCCAGTTTAGGGTAGTGGTTAAGGCCAGAGGCTAGAAACTAGCTAGGTGACTTTGACCGATTCCTCTCTCAGTTCTAGGAAGCAGGCGAGGGCCGACCATTTTGGAAATCTCGCCAAGAAAAACGGCGGGGATTTGTCCAGCTCAATCACCTCCCCTTCCCATTTTAATTTCTGAAATCAAAAGTCATCCTTTCAGTTTACGACATTTTCCATCTTTCACAGTCCGATCCAGACTTTGGCCCCTTTAAGACATGTGGACTTCAACTCCCAGAATTCCCCAGACAGACACGATCACCATGGAAACAATCCTTTTTTTACTTCCTTTGAAGGAGTCCTTCAGACAAAGATTACTGTAAACATATTGCAATTCCTTTATTGTTTTAGTCAAACGAAGACTGTCCTTTCAGAAGATGGCAGTAAAGCTATTCTGAATTTATTCGGGTTGCTTTCGGAATGAGAAAACATAGAGAAGAAACCCTTAATAGGAAGATCGTTGAATACTATTTGTAACCTGAACTACTTCCGATGTGCTATAAAACTGAAATGTAAGGGGAAAAAATGAAGGGGTGGGGGGAGAAATTTAAACATTGCAACTGGGAAAAACCTGTTCAACGTTTGAAACTTCCTTGGGTTTCCTCAGAAAAAAACCCAATTAACTAGGAAAACTTGCTATAAAATTTGCTGGGGCTAATTCCTAGGCAGGTACAACATCAAACTTTTTAATGGTTACAGCAGGTTTCTGAACAGGTACTTGTGAATGTTTATGTAACATGAATTGACACCCATTGTGTCAGCTTACCCACAAATGTTCATTGTCAAAGTTCAAAATAAGAGTTATGAACAGGAAAAAAAAATTAGCGTGTACCCCAGGAGTCCCCAAACTTGGCAACTTTAAGACCTGTGGACTTCAACTCCCGGAATTCTCCAGCCAGCATAGCTGGGAATTCTGGGAGTTGAAGTCCACAAATCTTAAAGTTGCCAAGTTTGGAGACCTCTGGTGTACACCAAGGGAGTCCAACCGTGGCAACTTGAAGACCCATGGACTTCAAGACCTGATTTTAAGACCCATGGACTTCAACTCCCAGAATTCCCAGCTATGCTGGCTGGAGAATTCTGGGAGTTGAAGTCCACAAGTCTTAAAGTTGCCGAGTTTGGAGACCTCAATGTACACAATCAAGTTTGCATCCAAACCAACATTAACCTCAGGCAGACGGCCTCTGGCCTCCAAAGAATTCTTTTGGGTCCACCATCACCACACTCGGCATTGATGGATGAGTTCCTTCAACCTCCGGATGCCTTCGATGCTTTTGTCCTTGAGAGCCATTGCCAGCAGAACGGCCTTGTTGCCAGCTTCTTGAGACACCGAGGTCACCAGGTGCTTGGCGGAGATGTGGACAAGAGGCTGAAAGCAAAGCAAGAAGAACTTAAGTGACCATTCCTCTCCAACGTCACTGTCAGGTTTTCAAGGGATGAAATCCATTTCAAAAGAAAAGAGCAAAATCCATCTTCCAAAACAATTTCTTTTTATTTAGGGAAGGATCAAATTGGCAAAGTCCATTAAAATTCCAGATCCGACACAACCTGGAATTACCCCACATAATATTGGAAGTTAGAAACAGCCCCCCAAAGTCACATTCTCCAATAGGAGTAAATCAAGGGTTGCCTGGTGTCATCATTCTCCACCTCCAGGTCTCAGCGGGGTCAGCTTTCGTTCCCACGGGAAGGAGAGCCACCTAGCCTAAACAACTCTCTCTATCTCCACTCCTCCCACCTTAGGAATGTGGCAAGTCCAAAAACCTTCCCCCATAACCAGCAAAGAGAAAAAAAGAATATATAATAAGGCTAAATAAAAGGGCTACGCATATGTCAACTTTGGGCTTGACATTCACCTTCTCCACCTCTTCCTCCATGGTGTGGCCATCTGGCTAAGCCATCAAGAAAGCTGGTGGACTTCCAAGAAAACAAAGGAAGTGAAAAAAAGGAGAAAGGAAGTCAAGGAAGATACTTGGAGGTTAAACTAAGATAGGGATGGGAGGAAGAATACCTCATCCTTGCCCAGGAGAACTTTCGTGGTCCACGAAGTTCTGTTGATCCCATCAGGTACTGCGTCAGGCTCCACTGAGACCAGAGTCCCCATCTTTCCATACTGGGTCACCACCACCAGGATCGTGGCTCCAAAGGAGGTGCACACCACCTCCGTTGGGATGCCACACACGGCTTCTCTGGTCTGCTTTGAGACTGGGATGGGCTGAGTCGCCATGGCAGGAATCGGTCCTTGCCTTAAAGGAAACCATCCGTAAGAAGGACGCAGCATCTCACGATGCTTTCAAGCCAGCTTCCCCATGAGGGAAGGCTCAGCTCCTGCCTCCTGAGAGGTGGCCCTTGATTTTGGCTCTGGTTCTTCTCAGTTAACTTGTCAATAAGGAGACAAAGAAAAAGTTTGCTTGGCAAAGAATTCTTAACCTTAAGCCTGAACTGTTTTAAATATCCCTCTCTCAGTGGCATGGTGTGTCTGTCCATCTGGATTTCCTTCCTTCCGGTTTCCACCTATCACCTACCTCTCCTTCCTTTCCTTCCTCTCATTTCCATCTCCTTCTTTCCTTCCTTCCTTCTTTTCCTTCCTTCCTCTCATTTCCATCTCCTTCCTTCCTTCCACCCTTTTCTTCCTTTCATTTCCATCTTCTTCCTTCCTTTCCTTCCTCTCATTTCCATCTTCTTCCTTCCTTCCATTCCTTCCTTCCTCTCATTTCCATCTCCTTCCTTCCATCCTTCCTTCCCTTTCCTCCCTCTCATTTCAATCTCCTTCCTTCCTTTCCTTCCTCTCATTTCCAACTCCTTCCTTCTTTCCATCCTTCCTTCCTTCCCTTTTCTTCCTTTCATTTCCATCTTCTTCCTTCCTTCCATTTCTTCCTTCCTTTCCCTCTCATTTCAATCCCCTTCCTTCCTTCCTTCCTTCCTTCCTTCCTTCCTTCCTTCCTTCCTCCCTCCCTCCCTCCCTCCCTCCCATTTCCTTCCTTCCTTCCTTCCTCTCAACAACAAAGCAAAAGCTACGACCAGGTAAAACCACTTTCACCATCGCTTGTACTGAAAACCTTCAGTCGCTCTTGCCTGCTGGGTCCCCCAAATCTGCGTTCACTTTCTCTCCTTTGACAACGGACTCGGGTTCACCCTGGCTCGGCTCTTTACCCCAAACCACGACCGGCGCCTCCTGCCAACCCGGAACCCGCGCGCGGCGAGCCTTGCCAACCTGGTGGGGGGCGGGGGGGGACGGAAAGGGGGCGCCTCAGCTTGCAGGCTGCCCTCTCCGGCGGAGGCGCGCCAGGAAGGCCCGAAAACCAAACCCTCCCAAGGCGCGCAGTGGAAGGGGTGGTGGTGGTCCGGGGTTAGGGGCCCCTTTCCCGGAGGAGAAGGGAGCGCGCAGCGCCCGCCCGCCTGCCTCTCCAGCCAGCCGGGCTCGCGCGTAGCATGCGGGTGGGTGCAGCTGCGGCTCTCCAAAGCGCATGGCTAGGTTCGGTTCGGCTCTACGTAGCCGGTCCGGACCTAGAACTTAGCCTCCCCCTACAGCCCGGTTCTACCGACCGAGCCCTGCGCTTGCTTACTTGCTTGCTTGCTTGCTTACCTTCCAAGCAATCGTTCCCTCCGCCTCCGCCGGTCTGGGCTGCTTCCGCACGCCTTCCTCCTCCCCGGGAGGAGCGTAAAGATGGGCGGAGCGCTTCCCCGAAGCCGGGAGTCTCTGGGCGTGTGCAAAGCGCCTCCCCTTGCTTGACCCGATGGAAGTGGATCTTGGGGTCGAAGCAAAGAGGGTCAAGTTGGCCGCATCGCTGCCCCGGGGAGGTTGGCATTGCAAAACTGGATGCCAAAGAAAGAACAGGGGCAGAGCGCTGGAGAAGGGGCAGAGGGGCAACTGCCTTAAGGAGCAGGATCTTAGCCATGGTTTATTAACTAAGCCGGAATCAAACAGCATATGCTAAACTCTAAACCAGAATGGCTGGGTTGATGATATATTAAGCCCGTGTTTCTCAACCTTGGCAACTTGTGTGGGCTTCAATTCCCAGAATTCTCCAGCAAGGCTGGTTGGAGAACTCTGGAAGCTGAAGTCCATCGATGCTAGCTGGGGAATTCTGGGAGTTGAAGTCCACATATTCTAGCTGGGGAATTCTGGGAATTGAAGTCGAACGAAGCTGGCTGGGGAATTCTGGGAGTTGGCATCCACGCAACCTTCAAGTTGCCAAAGTTGCAAGCCACCGATTTAGGCTAAGAGAGAAACAAACCAACAAACCACATCCTGGTTTATGGGTTGTGCGCATGCAGCTTGTGGGCTTAACTCTTCACCCCTCCATTGCTTCCAGCCATGCATAACCAATCTGGGGTGTGTCCCTGAATGGAGAAGTGGGTCTTCCCCAAAACAGAACCATTCAGTCGAAGAATCCCTGTTCTAAAAAAAAAACCCAATCGTCCGTTAAAAGGGGGCTTTTAATACATGGACCCATGTATTAATGATTAAATGATTAATTGGCAACATCTTTTTATAGTTGATCAAAATGTCCCTAATTAATTCGGCCGATTTGCCCAATATAGCAAATGTTAATTTAAACCTCATTGATTTAAGGAGCACTGATTCCTACTTGGAGGCATGTCGCTGAGATTAACGACCCTTATTTTCTTTCCTGAAAACCGCAGATCTTTAATTTCGATATGATTTATTTGCAAAGCTGATGGACTGGGGGGTGGGGGCAGGTGGAGGGAGCCGCCGTGCTCTCGGGTTGAAAGACAGAAATGAATGCAAAATCTAGATGAAGTGCTTTCGAACAGAAATAAGTCAGGCGAGAAAAGAACCAGAAAACATACAGGGTTTTTTGGAGGGAGAAAACAATCCTCAATTCAGAAATTATTATACAGAAAATTTCTGAGAAGCTTTCCTTCCAGCCGAAAAAAAATGCTTGCAAACTATTCCACAGTTGCATTGAATTTTTTTTTATTTTTAAATCTTAGCCAACTTGCTCAAGACGAAAATGGAAAAAGCATGTTCAGGCGGGCATTCCTCCTTTGCTGCCTTCTAGGGCTGTTTGGACTGCGTCTCCCAGAGTTCCACAGGAGGCAGGCTAGGAATCCTGGGAGTTGAAGTCCCTGCACATCTGGCTGGCGAGCCATCGAGGAAGCCTGGCGGGAGAACGTTGGCACAGTAATTCCCCTAGAGGGCAGCAGAGTTCCATAGAAAAGCTCACCCAGGAATGCCTTGTCTATCAGCATCCTCCTGCTGGCTGTGGATTATGGTTGTGAATCTCGGTTAGCAATCTTGGTTTGTCTTCACACTTTCTGGAAGGGGGGCGGGCTGAGGATCCCACCTCCTTTCTTTTTGTCACCGTTAAATCCTTCCCTAATCCAGGGTTTCTTAACCTTGGGCCCTTTGAAGATAGCTGGGCTTCTTCAACTCCCAGAATTCCCCAGCCAGTTTGCTGGCTGGGGAATTCTGGGAGTTGAAGTCCACCCGTCTCCAAGGAGCCACGGTTGAGAAACACTGCCATCATGTTTATTTTGGCAGGGATGGTAACGTCAACCCATGGTCGTGTCACGGCTTGTCCACAAATTATGATCAAACCCATGTCAGTTTCTTTGATAAGCTACAGCTGAGCGTAGTTGTAGAGATGCAACTGTTGGGGGTAAAAGTCCCTCCCTCTCCCCCCCCTCCTCTTACAACAGAAATCATATTTTTTTTTGAAGATGGGGAGAAAGCTCGCCCCTCGGTTTCTGAGCTCCAGCTAAAACAGGAGCTTCCCCCTCTCCCATTCAGTAAGGCCAGATCTGAGGAGGGGGGTCTTCCTCCCTGAATTGGTGAGTCATGCTTCTTTTAATACAAACCCCCCCCCTCTTCTCTCCCCCTCCTCCTTTCTGTAGCCCCGGTTTGGCTGAGATGATCACGGAGGAGGGAAAAATATGTGCTAATGGGAAATTGATCCTTCAGTGGCATCAAGAGTGAGTCACCCTGTGGGAGGGGGAATTAGAGGGGGGAGATACAGACCAGTTTTATTTTGCAAAAGCTTAGCTAGTTACAGAATAGTGTTGGGGGGGCACCTTGGAGGACTTCTAGTCTAACCCCTGCTCAAGCAGGAGACCCTATAATACCACTGATGGCTAACCTTTTTGGGCTCCTGGGCCAAAAATTGTGCGTGCGCTTGCACACTTGCACTCGTGTGCCAGCACCCAGAAGGCAATGCGTGCCCCCCCTGCGCCCCCTACGCAAGTGCCTGTAATCCCCACCCCCCCACCCCCGCTGCCCTCTTACCTGCACTGCCCCTCACAGCTGATTTTCGGCCGGTTTGAGGCCTTTTCCGGTCTCCCAAAGGCTTGAGGAAAGCTTCTGCAGGCTTTGCAGGCCGAAAACTAGCCCCGTTTCGTCACTTCCTGTTTTTCTGAAAATACCGGACATGATGAAACGGGGCTAGTTTTCGGCCTGCAAAGCCTGCAGAAGCTTTCCTCAAGCCTTTGGGAGACCGGAAAAGGCCTCAAACCGGCCGAAAATCAGCTGTGAGGCGCACGCATGCGCAGTGAGGTAAGCTGGCCTGCAGCTCGTGTGCCAGCACAAGTGGCTCTGCGTGCCACCTGTGGCACGCGTGGCATAGGTTCGCCGTCACGGCCCTATCCCATTTCAGACAAGTGGCTGTCCAGCCTCTTCTTCAAAGCCTCCAAAGCACCCACAACTTCTGGTGGCAACCTGTTCCTTTGATCAAATGTTCGGATTGTTGGGAAATTTCTGCTTAGTTCCAGGTTGCTTCTTTCTTTGATTAATTTCCATCCGTTGCTCCTTGTGCTGCCTCAGGCAGGAGGAGAAAAAGGCACCAGCCCAACTTGGTCTGAAAAGCAAAGCCCGAGGGCCCATTTCTGAATTTCCTTCCCTCTCACCGTGAAAGGGTGTTTTTTTAATAAGCCCTGGGATGTAGCTTTCAGTATGTTTTGCAAACCCAAACTATGCGCCTCCTCCTTCCTGGGTAGGATCTGAGCCCCAAGTTATCCATGTGAGCACCAGCCAAACTTCCTTCATTTTGTCTCTGTAGAAAGTTAGCACCCACTCCTCTCCTAGAAGAATGAAATATTCTAGGAAATATTAAAAGGGTAGGATATTTTCCCTAAAAGAGAAATAGAAATCTTAAGGGACACAGAAACTCAGCCCCAGCTCCCTGGCCCAAGCAGATATTTTGGTGTCAGCCAATCTACAAGACAAAAGACCTTCAGCTCCAGGAGGATGGGATTAACCTTCAGGGCAAAGCCATTCAGCCACAATAGGAATTGCATTGCATCAGCCCAAGTTTCAACCAAGCTTGACTCAGAAAACCTACAAAGTTAGCTATGACCCCTGCATATTCCCATGGGAGTCTGACAGCAACCAATAGAACACACTGCCCTTGCCACAGGAACAGGAAGCTCAAGGGCAAAGCCGAAGAGAAGGTATAAATACCCCTCAGTCTCAACTCCGTGTGGTCAGCTGCCCAGACCTCAAACCCATGTGGTTCTGCTTCATCATTAAACCATCTTTCCAATCAGCCTCCATGTTTCCAGTGTCTTCCTCCCCACTTGGAACTGAGCCAGATGGATTTTTCTCCCAACCTCTCTTTATCCTCATCCCCTCTGGTTTACAAAATTAAAATGAGAACACCTTCCCAACCGCGTCCATGGAGACCGAAATATTGGCAGAGATGGGCATCTGTGTGACAGTCTCCTCCGTCTCCCCTCTTCCTTTCCCTCAAATTGCTGGGATCCCATTAGGAATATTGGTTAGCCTGGCTGGACTTCTACTCAGCATTATTTTAGACCCAGTGTGGGGTTGCTGCTGAACGCTGGGTGATTAACGACGGCATTAATCATCCCACCGGTTCTTGCCTGCCATATTTCAATTAAATTGTAAACTTGTGCTGGAGATCAGTCATTAACTCTCCAGGCATGAGAAATGGTTGTTCGGGTCTATTCGGAACATCCCGTCACAGCTGCATATTGGAAAGGCGGCCTTTTCTCTCCCTGAACAAAATATTGCAAAGGAGGGGAGGTTAGCATCCCCAGGGCTGTTCCAGCAAGGGATTTTTTCTTCTCCGAAAGAGCTATTTGCCGTTAAAGGTAAGAATTAAAACAGTCATAGTTTGTTTGAGATCACTGTTTTCCAAACTTTAATTTGAATTTGAATTCTTTATTGTCATTGTACGTATATGCACAGTATACATACAACGAAATTCACATTACACCCAGACACACACAACATGCACACACACATGACAGTCCCCAAACACACCCCACCCACCAAAATTCCCCACCCCTAAAAATACACAAGCACCCACTCAACAGACCAAGTAACACTGTCCAACAGCTCACTTGACGGTGGCCCTTAAGTTCATCGTTAAGGGCAATTATAACTCTGGGATAAAAACTGTTCAGAAAATGTGGGGTCCGAGTTTTAATTGTTTCTGTATCTTCTGCCAGAGGGCAACAGTTCACAAAGATTGTGAGTAGGGTGGGAAGAGTCTCTGAGAATGTTGTGCAACTTCCTTAAAAGCGAGATGAGAAGATGTCATCCCAGGACTGGTAGCTGGAGCCCAGTGATATTCTGGGCAGTTTGAATGATTCTCTGTAGAGCCTTTTTGCCCGCTAAGATGGGTGGATTTCAAATTGTGGTGCTGGAGAAGACTCTTGAGTAGAGTAGAG